GTTATCAACCTTCCGTAAGAGGCACTGCTTCGTGGACCTGTTCATAATGGATGGATGTATCGTTACGAGCGAGCCATGAAACATCTAAAAGGGAAAGCAAAAAATCATGCAAGAGTGGAAGGTTCAATAGTTGCTGGAAGTTTGAATGCGGAAACATCTCATTTCACTTCATACTACTTTGGATCACAAGCGCGGACTCGGAAAAGAACAACGAGCAGGTATGATGATGGTGGTGTTGCGCCGACATATATTGTTGAAGACGTTCCAGGCATATTCTGTCAGGTTGGACATCTAGGTGGAAGGTTGAGAGAAGTTTGGTGGTCGAGTTCTGAAAACGCCCACAGTGCGCACACATATATCCTCCTTAACTGCGAGGAGCTTGAGTATTTTGAAAAGTAAGTAGTATTCTTTATATGCCGTGATGTTTTAATTACCACACATATACTACAATATCTAATATCATGAATTTATTTTAAAACAGTGATTTCGTTGCCCAAGTCGAAGATGATATACCAGAGATATCAAACAGTGATATCAACAAAAGAAAAGATCAACACTTTGTGAAGTGGTTTAAAATGCAGGTAAATATATATATATATATATATATATATATATATATATATATATATATATATATATATATATATATATATATATACACATATATTTAATTTCAGATGGATATGTTTCAAATCTATCGATATATACTGCAGGTCGATTATGATGATCCATTTTATCCTCAGTGGTTACACGAATTGATAGAAGGTCCGGTCGCGAAGGTCACCACATCATCTATGTATTTCACACGTGGATACACTTTTCACACTTACGAATATGGAAACCGGAGAGCAACAATGAACTATGGAGTATGTGTGAAAGGCGAAACAGATTTTTACGGAATCATACAAGAGATCATCGAAGTGGAGTTTCCCGGCATGAAGTTCAAATGCGTACTCTTCAAATGTGAATGGTTTGACCCCACTGTCAATAGAGGTGTTCGGTATAGTAAGTTTGGTGTTGA